CAAATGAAAAATAATCACAACCTATAAGAAATTACTTACATGTGTATAAGGAGGGAGAAAAAAATCAAGAAAATACTTGTCTATTATCAATTACAATTTGGAACATTAATTTAATACAACAAAATAGCTTATGGCTTTCAAAAAATAACAAAAACTTTCATCATTAGCCCTCCAAGTGAGAAGCGATGCATAAAAGATAAAAGAGGTGCAACTTTGAGATGCTACTTCACTGTTACCAACCACCTGGAAAGAAGGCCATTAATAATTGTTGTCCTTATTTAGGAGAAACAATTACATACATTAAATGCAAGTTAAATGACAGGTTTCTCACTCTCCAGCTGACTTGTAACGATACAACTTGGCATTGCTGTCCACATGGGCTGAGTGGTGATAGGTAGCACAGGCTGGGCATACCATAAAGTCCTTGAATTGTAGCAAATTAATCTCATGGTTGCAGGACTTCCATTCTTTAAATGCAGAGTCATTTATAACACCAGCCTAAGAATTAGATGTAAAAGATCAAAGAATAAAATAAACTGATAAATACATTTCATAATCTCTGCTGGGTATGTTTGCAATGCTTTTAACATACTGATTAGTTGATGGAGAGGCATTGACTAATTTGATTCCCTGTAAAAAAAGCTACATTTTGTTAAATGTATGAGTCAAGTTTAGGATACCAGGCGTCACTCTTGGATTAGGGGATGGAGATTCTAAAATCACACTCCTTTTAAAGGAAAAAAATATATTTAACAATTTTTGGTCTTTTTAGTAGAGGTCCTTACCAAAAAAGTGTTGGGATTTTTTTATTATGGAGTGGGTTGCTGGCTGGCTTGGGATGGAAAATGGCCACACAATTTAAATTTACATTTAAATTTTTTAACAAAAAAATGTTAAAGGTACAAAGCATTAACTATGTGAATATAAATTTAACCTTTTAAAAATATTTGAACAGAAATGACCATTTTGTACACTCTATAGCACTGTAACCTACCCTTCCTCTTAAAATAGAGAAATCTTCCAAAGATCTGAGAAAACCACTTTCAGATGATCCAGGGAGGTGCTATTGAAGTAAATCCCACTTGGTGAGAAGATCTTGAGAAAAGAGGTGTTGGGTATTTGCTAAATTAGCAGGCAAATACCCTTCACTCACAAGTTGATTTACATCGAGTGGATCAACGGAGTTTTGACAACAACTGCAGCAATAGACAGCGACATTTAAATCAAACGTTCCTATGGAATACACAATAATAAAAAAAAAACAGACAAAAATAGTTTATGTACCACTACAGACAAATGCAGTACGCACAACTTAACTGATGTGAATGGTAAATTGGTGTTAAAAAAATTGAAATTATAGGTAAAAATACTGTATCATTAGCAGTGACAACAATACATCCTTTGTCGGTGAAAGAGACTGGCACAAAGGAATCAACAGCCTTACATACAGCACATATATTGCAGACTGAATTGACACTATGTGGCAGACATTGCACTGTTAATTGAAAACAAGTAAGTAAAAGAAACACCTATTCTGTCAGTAATTCAAAATAAAAAGCAACAGTAATGAAAAAATTTCTTATCATATGAGGTGGATACATACAAATGGCAGGTACTACAACGAGGAACACCAGAACACCAACTAACAACTAGGTTAGTTTAGGGTTAGAACTAGGGTTACAACTGATGGTTAGTGGTTAACCCAATTAAAGGTTAGCGGCTGGTGTTTTGGGTGAGTAGGGTTTCACTTAGCTTTTTTAAGAGCATTCTGGGTTTTATGAGGTGTTCCTGATTTTAGTACATGCCCATACAAACTTCCAACTGAAATCATACCTTTCCACATACCCACATGAGGGTGTAATTACAGGTAATCTCTTTTAATAAATCTTAAGGCACGTCAGTAACCACTTGACCTTGTTTAAAATAAACAATGCCATGTTTTTGTATAATCCCTCTCTTGGAATTCCTCTTCTTTCATGTACACGAACCAACAGCCTTTAATGAGAGCCCTTTTAGGCAGGGCCTTCCCATATAGTCCACAATATATAGGGAGTAGCCCATCTGGAGGCAGTAACAAGAAGTAATGGTCATTTACAAATATGTAAACACAAACCCAAGAAATATATTGAAGATTTCAAAATAAAATATAATCATGTAAAATTTGGTTACATTTCAATATTCCACGTTATACTTACACACATACATACATCCATTAACATACATACTTTATTGACTTTTCCCGAGGGGGATTTTCAAAGACAATATTGTTATTTACATTAAAAATAAGAATGACTAAAATAAGGTTCCAACTTACCTACTGTTGTTAAGTTTCCTTCCCTGTCTAAAGACACTGATGGTGCCACACATTTAAGAAACCCTTCATGATAGATCTCTCTATCATGAAAAGGATTTCTTCTGTACACATCATTGTCACACTTTGCACACATAATCTCTTTCAAGCCACGCTGCCGACAACGGACAAGAGGTTGGTCTTTCTTGCAGTGTATACAAGGAACTGATGGTAGAAGGGGCTCCAACTCTAACAGCGACATCATAATTTGAGGTCTTTTGTTGGCCCAGCTTTTGCCTAGATCCTCAATCCTTGTAGTCCAACTCTTCGCCT